CTATTGCTTTTATAAAATATTTATCAAGAATACGCACGAATCTAAAACGTCACAACCGTGTTTACGTAGTCTCATCTAAAAAACACCTATCGACCGATGAGAGGGCGCGTAATTTTTATAAAACAATTTGTTATTTCCACCAAGTCCTACAAGTTTCTCTCAAGTCCTAGCTGGCCTTGCTTATTAATTATGGGTTAAGAAAAAGATTGCAGAATGAGTCACTTTTATTGATTCAAAATCTTTATAAAGATCAGTTGCCCTTTTTGCAAACTTATTTGCGCCTTTCAAAGCAAGTGTGGCATTTTTGAACCCCATTTTACTTGAGTGGAGATCGATATATTAACGTTAGCTCCTCTGACAACCTTTGAAAGCAAATAATCGGAAGTATTGTAAACTTTAGCTGACATCTTCGGCATTGTAACAGGACTGATCCATGTTTTACATGGTAGCTCATGTTCTCTAGCTTCACCACGCAGTAAATAGCTCGATAAATACTGGAATACGTCAACAACAATGTGGGTCTGAATCCGAGAATAATTAAGAATAAAAGTTATTCTCAATATGACGCACTTGCACATCGATTTGAAGTGTCTTTAATAAATAGACTCCATGTTGCCGTGCGTACGTCCAGTAATTGATCACAGATGACGTCAAAATGTGATAACGGCAAAAAAAGTGGCACACAAGGCGATAGATTGGTGTTAATGACGTCATCTATGCATCTGTCCTCCGATTGACCATAAGTAAGAACCAATCAAAATGCGAGGATAATTTGACTTAGTATTAAATATAATAGTAATATAATATAAAGTAAATAATTGCAATATGATTCCTTTCAACAAGTACCAGAAACAATTTCATTTTCCCCCTTCCTCTTTAAGGTGGGATTTTTAAATAACCTCAACAAAATTAGCAATTAAATTATTTCGCCTTGTGAGTAATATTGCGTTGTTAAAAACTGAAAAATGTCCTTTTGACTAGTTAGCGTGATAAGCCGCGAATTACATGTTTTGTAATTAGTTTGGCATGCAAGTCTTTGCTTTCACCCATATCAAGTATAGAGCGGTTTTCATTTGAGTGTCGAAAGGTAATCATCTACACGATTCGCTTAAAAAAAAACTCTCGCCACTTTTTCATGCAATCAGAAGAAAAACCAAAACCAATCGTAAATTGTTCCGTACACGTTTTCCCGCGCTATGCTTCATAAAATTACTTCGAGTTTTGATTAGTTCATTGGATAGTCTGTGTCCTTAGTGATTGGCCAGCGTTATTACTTTGGTTTTGGTTTTAGGACACTCAATTGAAAACCACTACATAAAAGATGTTGTTGCTGTTGAAAACAATTAGGCATAGTTTTGACCAGTTTTTACATGCAGTTATAACCGGTTATGAGATAAACGCTTGTTCATCTGAGCGTTAGTGTACACCTCGTCCCATTCTTCGGCCTCAGTGTCATGTGCTCTACTTCTTTCAGGTCTTGACCTGGAAGTAGCTCCAGTTTGAAGGTCTGAAACAGTCGAGCCAGCAGCATTTTGGCCTGAATCTGAGCGAAGTGCATCCCAATACAAGTATGACGACCGAGAGAGAATGGAATGTACGCGTAGTGCTCAACCTCTTCATGATTGGACGGTGCAAAGCGATCTGGGTCGAACTTCTCTGGGTCGTCCCAGTACTTTATATGGTGATGTAGCACGTGCACGTTCACCATGATGCTGGTTTTGGCGGGAATGTGGTAGCCGCCCAGGGTGATATTTTCATTTGCCATGCGTGTGACCGCTGGCTGTGGTGGATGCAAGCGCAGAGCCTCCTTGCTTGCCTGTTCAAGGTATGTAAGCTTAGCGAGGTCTTCGTATTTCACTGCGCACCTGCTGCCAAGAACTTCGTCAATTTCAGCCACAATCCTAAAGAATAGAAGTCAATCAGTCAACAACCGAGTCAAGTTTTGAACGCAGAATTTCCGAGTGGCTATCAGTTTTAATTCACATTCATGTTACCATCGTTTGTCTTTGTGGTTTGCGCAAATTCTCTGTTATTTGAACTTATTTAGCAAAACCAACCAATGTTCCACAAAGAAGCTAAATTCTACGTAAAATTTTCTTCGACTGGTTTCCTGATTGCGTACAATGCGCTCATTAACCAATCACAGGGAAGAAATTCACAAGTGCAAAAACCAAAGCCAATGGTACGCATAGTGACCAATGGTAATTGTCTGACGTAACTTTTCCCGCGCTTTTCACCGTCCGCGTGTTGCTTTGACTTTTGATTGGTTTTAGTTCTTGAGTAGCCGCGTGTGACTTTCTGGCAATGAATAACAATCTCCTCACGAAAACCTCAAACAGAAAGTTTCTAAGGTGAAAGAATACTAAATAGGTGAAAATAAAACAAAAAGGAACATGGATATTTGCCACTAGGGAAGATTTAGAGGGATTTCAAATGAAAAGTATCCGTGACTGGGCTCCTCACGTATTTAATGCTTGATACAGAAAATGATGAACGAAAGCAAACCTTTTCTCCACCTCTGGATGGGAGGTTATGGCAGTGAGAAGGTAAGTCAAGTGGGTGGAGTCAGTTTCCTCACCTGGAAAATAAAAGCAATTCACCATTTATTAAGGTTATACAGAAAATTCAATTTCCTTGAGGAAAGATACAGGAAACGGTTCTTTCCATAAACAAGTCATAAAAAGTCACTCTTTTAATGGGTCAAGAAAATTGGGTGGGGTGTGGTACAAAGTTGTATAATTTTTATTGGTTAAAAGCTGTCAAATGGACCCTCAGTGTCAATCAAAGTCATACATGCTTATTATCGAACAGGTTTTCCATGTTCATGTGTCCTTTTATTTAACCAATGACAACGGCCAGGCGAAGGACAAATTTTTGCTTTATATATAAATAAAAAAAGAATCTGCTTGAAAAAAGATTAAAACCTCCTACACTCATCCTGCAAAAACCAACTTTCTGGGCCTGATGTGAGATTTTGGGACATGTTATTACAGCTTAACTTAAAATAAAAACATTCCATAGAAGATCTTGTGGCATCACTAAAGCTCCCGCCAGTTTCAGACAAGAGCAAATTCTATGTCCAGTTTTCAGACAAAACAACCCAAAACTCATACTATCTGGGGTAGTACACACCCATATAAAAAGGGGTGCATTTA